CACAGGCTCTCTCCCTTGCCCCAGGACTCAGCCCCTCTGCCAGCCCCCATCTGGCCCTGACAGATCTTCTGCGGGATCACTTCTCTGTAGGCTCTACCCTGTCCCCTCTACTCTCAGTCTAATCTGTTAGGATCATTCCGTGGCATAGGCAGGAGCAGGCCACCTCTCTTAGATAACGCCAGCCTCTCATGCCATTGTCTGCGGGACAAAGTCACTGTGATGGAGGGGTCCTCTGAGTCCCCATACCCATGTCCTTGGCCTGAACTTCTCTCCCCACGTCCTTTATCCCATGGTCTGAGTCCCTACCTCCACATCCTTAGCCCCATGGTCAAAGCGCCTGTCCCTGCCATCCTTAGCCCTGTGGTCTGAGGCCCCATCCTCATGTCCTTAGCCCTGTGATCTGAGCCCTTGTCCTTGCCATCCTTAGCCCTGTGGTCTGAACCCCTGTCCTCATGTCCTTAGCCCCATGGTCTTAGCCCTCATCTCCACATCCTTAGCCCTGTGGTCTAAGTGCCTGTCACTGCCATCCTTAGCCCCGTGGTCTGAGCTCTCATCCTCATGTCCTTAGCCCCATGGTCTGAGCCCTCATTTCCACATCCTTAGCCCTGTGGCATAAGCACCTGTCCCTGCAATCCTTATCCCTGTGGTTTGAGCCCCTGTCCTCATGTCTTTAACCCTATTACTGCTGCTTTCACACCTGTGTCCCCTAGTACATGCAGTTTCTGTTCCCTGAAGGCCAGGGTCTTCTCCATGTCCATCCTGCTGCCACTGTCCCTCCTCCTGGACCCCTCCTATCTCCTCCCTGCCCCCACCCAGGCATGGCTCAGAGACCCTGCTGCCTATAGGTCCTTGAGGGCTCTGCACAAAAGAAGGTGGGATTGACGGATCAAAGGACATCACACATCTCAAAACCATCAAGTGAAACGCATGTTTAAAAACAAGCTTTTTAAAACAGTCAGAGTGACAAACTTGTCAGAGCAACTGGGTACAAGGTTGGAAGATTGTCTGTTTGTTTTTGAGTTGGGGCCTCACTCTTTCATATAGGTTGGAGTGCAGTGGCATAATCATAGCTCACTGCAGCCTCCACCTTCTGGGCTCAGGTAATCCTTCTGCCTCAGCCTCTCGAGTAGCTGGGACTACAGGCACGTGCCATCCTACCTGGCTAGCTTTTTAAAAATTATTTTGTAGAGTCAGGTTCTCTCTGTGTTGTCCAGGCTGGTGTCAAACTCCTAGGCTCAGGCAGTTCTCCAGCCTTCACCTCCCAGAGTGCTGGGATTCAGGAGTGAGCCATCACACCTGGCCAGATTATTTGTTTGAAATCATTTTTTTCCCAAGCTTTATTGAAGTATGACTGAAGATAAAAATTGTGTTTATTTACAGGGTACAACACGGTGATTTGATACACACATTGTAAAGCGATCACCACACTCAAGCTGATTAATGCATTCGTGACCTCGCACAACCCCCACTGTGTGTGTGTGTGTGTGTGTGTGTGTGTGTGTGTGTGTGTGTGTGTGTGTATGTATTTAAGACACTTAGATCTACAGTCAGCAGATTTCAAGTAAACAGTTCAATATCAGCTGCAGTCACCAGGCTGTACACCAGGTCCCCAAAACTTATTCCTAATGGCAAGTTTGTACCCATGGCCATTATATCCCCACTTCTAACCCCCAGCCCACCTAGCAGCCTCTACTCTGCTCTCCATTTCTGGGCTTTCAGCTTTCGAAGTAGAGTCTCTCATGAGCCAAACTGCCTTCTGCTCCTCTTTCCCTGTCTTCCCCACCTCCCCACACCAACATCTGCACTATCTGCCCTCTGGGTGTTCCCTGTGCTAGAGTGAAGCTGAAGCCTTTACTGATGAAGAGCTGCCTTAGGATTAGAGGACAAAGACTGTGTCCAGTGTTTTCCTGGCTTGACTTTTGTAGTCCTGCTTCTTTACTTTAAACTATTTCTTTTAAAGAACGTTAAGGGATGATCATCTAAAATAAGCCCCTCGCCCAATCAAAAAATCTCATGTTTTCTTGCAGCCAGGCCAAACTGGGTTCTGGAGGGTAAAAGATACCACAGGGTATGTGTTTGCTTGTGTGTGTGTCTGTGTCTGCCTTTCAGTCCTCCTGTATGGAGACCCATTGTCATCTGCTACAGTTGACCCCTGGGAACAAGCTAATAGAACGTGAATGCTTACACCAGAGTGTCCACTGGATTTGCCTCTCGTAGTTCAGTCTGCTGGAAGGCCACCTTGTAGTGAGGGTGAGAAAGCAAGCAATGTTGTGAGGACTTTTTAAAATACAGATGCTCAGTGCTTTTTAAATGCCATGTTTCCTTACGAACCTCAATTCCCTTCTGGAAACAGAACAGGAGGAAAGATTCCTTCTCCACAGCACTGTGACTCCCTTCTATCAGGGACTTGGAGAACGTGGCGTGATCTCCTAACTCCAGCCCTGTCAACATCTGCCCAGCAGCTCATCTCCCACTGTTAGCAGATGAATCGCACATCTAGAGAGACCTTCAGATCTGGGGCTTTGGAATTTTAGGAGTGTTCTTTCATGGTTTGCAGAGAGGAATACAGTTTAGTTAATCTCTTTTCTGAGAAATTCCTTACACATGCCCTCCCTAGACTAACTCTGGTCCTACTTGGGCAGGAGCAGAGCTGGGACCTGTGGCCTTGTCTTCTCTGAGCTTGTTTGCCTCTTACTGCATCTATCTTCTCCCCTCCTGCTCCCTACTCCCTCAGCCTTTGTACTGCTCATATTTGTCCCACTTCTAGGTCCCGGGTGTGAGGGAGAAGTTCAATTGCCCAAGACCCAGGGAGACATCCTGGGCACCCCCTCTTCCCTCTCCTTATGCAGTCTGTCCCCAGACCTAGAGTGGCTTCCTATTTGGTGTCACATGAATCCATTTCTTCTCCATGCCACGGCCAGGAATTGGGCAGGCCCTTATCTTCTGGGCACTTACCTGACCTGCCTCCAGCAGAGCACACTTCTAGAACACACGCCTGCTAGTCTTCTGCCCCAGGGGGTCTTCCCACCCTGCCTCATGTCATCTCCATCATGCTGTGTCCTTGCTCTCTGGACCTTTACGCTTCAGCCCGCCAGCTCCTTGTGGCTCACAGAATCCTGAAGCCACCTGACCTCTTTCCACCTTACCCCACTCCCTGGAAGCCTCTTCGTCTGCCCCATCCTTTTGGCAAATGTGTAATAAGTAATTGCTGTGTGCCATGTGGGTGATTCAAAAATGGTCCTCACCCTCATTCAAAGACTACAGGAAAGATGGGAAATAAACTGGCAACTGCAGAACGTGTCACACTGGAGAAAGCTTAGAGGACCACAAGATGAGGAGGGAGAGTCTTTTTGCCTTTGTTTGGTGAGTCAGAGAACCCTTCCTGGAGGAAGCAGTATACATTGGAGGCCTAAGGAGCTTCTAGGAGAGCAGCAAAGGGGCCAAGGAAGGGAGAGAGGCAGCTGGCTGGGGAGGGTGTGGTGCAGGTGATGAGGGCTGGGGCAGGCAGGGCAGAAGGGAGTGGGGCAGCTGTGAGTGGGCCAGATTATGCAGGAGTTTATCAGCAAAGTCAGGATGATGGGGCGTGTACAGGGTTATAAACAGGGGAAGGAGCACATTGGGTAGGTTCACTTGAAAGCTCAACTTCCCTGCCACCTGGAGAAAAGACTAAAGTGAGTTGTTGCTGGCGGTGGGTCCTCCTCCAGGAGACCACAGCTATAATCCAAGCAGGAGAGGCCAGGCTGCTGCTGCTGCAGGAACACACAGGAGGTTGGGCCAAGAGGAGTGGCACGTTCCAGGTCATTTCACAGGAGCATGGCTTGGGCAAGGCTTGGCTGGGTGGGAGTGGGAGACTCTGGGTATAACTTAGCAACTGGCTGGAGAGAGGCTTCAATCACACGGGAATCTTGGAGAAGGGAGAAGATGGAGACATGCTGCTCTGAGTTGAAGGCTGGACTCCTCGCTGGTGCCCAGGGCACACCAGGTTGACCCCGGGTGTCAAGAAGGCTGCCAGTTCTGGATGAAGAGCAAATTGGGGCTGGGTACCACATTTGGGAGTTACCAGTGTTAGGAATCTGCAGCAGGGAAAAGATTGCCCAGAGTGTGAAGTGAGCCCAGGAGTGGGCCAGGACAGACTAGCACCAAGAAGTGAGCTGGCAGAGAAGGAGGCAAGGAGTGAGAGAGAAGTACCTGCTGCCTGCTCAGTGCTGAGTGGCTACAGAGGGAGCTCAAGGGGCATTCATGGGATCCTGCAGGAAGGGAGGTCATGGAACATCTGTGAGATTCTGCAGGAAGGGAGGTCATGGAGTGTCTGTGGGATCCTACAGGAGGGAGGTCATAGAGCATCTGTGGGATCCTAAGGAAAGGGAGATAATGCAGCATCTGTGGGATCCTATGGGAAGGGAGGTCAAGAAGTCTCTGTGGGATCTGATGTGAAGGGAGGTCATGGAGTCTCTGGAATCTTACAGGAAGGGAGATAATGGAGTCTCTTTTTTATCCTAGGTCATGGAGTGTCCATGGGATCTGGCAGGAAGGAAGATCATGGGGTGTCTGTGGGATTTGGTAGCAAGAACTGTGAACTCGGGTGTCTTCACTTGGGTGGCGGGCTAAGTGTTCCTCTTAGCAGTTGTGAGCATGAGGTCAGCATTGGCCTCTCCCCCATCAAGCCCACACTCCCCTCTGCAGTTGGCACCTGCAACTTGCTTTGAGCATCTCTTTGAGCATCACAAGTGATGCTGAGTAAACTTCCTATGCCAGTTTGTCTGGGTCAGGTCACTTTGACCCTTGGGGTCCTGCTGTGCATTTCCTCAGCACCGTGGACAGCGCCCAATGTCCCTTTTGTGTGGGGAAATAAGGCTGGGCCTTGGTATAGGGTGATGGCAAGCCCTCAGAGTCCCTATTGTTTGTTCCTGAAGCATGGAGTCTGTAATGAGCCATTTTGTGTCTGATGACCTCAGTGGCCTGGATGACATCACACCTCATTTGTCACTTCTGTGTTGCAGATGATCCCCAAACCAAGTGAGCCAGCCCGGCAGCCTGAGAGCCACCCAGAGGAGACTGAGGAGGAGCTCCGGGAGCACCAGGCTCTGCTGGATGAGCCATACCTGGACCGGCTCTCAGGGCAGAAGGAGACGCATGCACTGGCTGGCGTGCAAGTTAAACAGGAGCCCATTGAGAGTGACGATGAGGAGGTAGAGCCCCCGCGGGAGGTGGAGCCAGGCCAGCGCCAGCCAACGGAGCAGGAACTGCTCTTCAGACAGGTGACCAAGGGTGGGGAGCACACTGGCAGACCGCACACTCAGCTGCCCATAGATGGTGCCCTCTGTGCCATAATTATGGGAGGCTGAAGGGCATCCTTCCACTGCCACTATCCAGGGCCTCCCCGTCTTGTCCTGGCAGGTGCAGGAGGTATTTGTGTTTTTGTTTTATATTAACCAAACCTAGGGATACTGGGCATTGGATTACTGTGAATATTCATGTACCTGCTTTCCAACCAGACACAAGCCCCAGACTCTCTGGGGATGGGTTTCCTTCAGGTCTGTAGGCTATAAATTAGCACCAAATCCAAGTGTTAGTGGGATTCACTATAATCCCTAAAGTTGAGGGCAGGGTGATAAAAGATGTAGGCAGGGTCTGATCAGAAGCAGGAACTTTTGAGGCCTGAGAGGTACTAATGACCAAGCTTACAGAGCCAGTAAGGTACCCTAAGTAAGGGCATTGACACGCAATAGCTACACTCACAAGAGAATGATGAAGAAATCCAGTGAATGATTTATTAATTTCCAGTGAAAAACAAAACTGCAAAGTCAACAGAAATACTATGGACAGCAAGTTGGAAACCCAGTATTAGAAGCCAGAGTGCCATCAGAGAGACTACTTATTCCTGATAAGCAGGAAACAAGTTGGAGAAGCTGGAGCAATGGAACATAATCATATCTAAAAGTCGTGGAGCTTGATATCTGGGCACTGCACCTGGGGCACAGGCCACCGGCTCATCCCCCTCTCTTGGTGGGCTCCATGCCTCCTGCCCCACTGAACTCCTTCCCAGCCTATGACTACCCAGGCGTGTAGCCTGACTCTGGTCCCCTCCTTCTCCAGCAGCACTTGAGAAGGCAAGGGCAGGATGACTCTGAAATAGACTGTTGAATTCTAAATTCTCTTTGTTGATTTGAGGGTCTCACTCTGTCACGCAAGCTGCACTGCAGGGCAGTCTCAACCTCCTAGGCTCAGATGATCCTCCTGTCTCAGCCTCCCAAGTAGTTGGGACTACAGGTACATGCTGCCATGACCGGCAAACTTTTTGAATTTTTTTGTAGAGATGAGGTGTCGCTATGTTGCCCAGGCTGGTTTTGAACTCCTGAACTCAAGAGAGCCTCCCACCTCAGCCTTCCAAAGTGCTGGGATTATAGGTATGAGGCAGTGTGCCAGCATCAACTGTTTAAGTCTGTTTGAGTTGGAGTCTTACTCCGTTGCCCAGGCTGGAGTGCAGTGGCACACTCACGGCCACCCTGCTGGGCTCTGGCAATCCCTCTACCTCAGCCTTCTAAGTAGCCGGATCTACAGGCATGTGCTACCACACCCAGCTAATATTTTATTTATTGTAGAGACGAGGTCTTGCCAAGTTGCCGTGGCTGGTCTCAAACCAGCAGGCTCAGGCAGTCCACTCGCCTTGGCCTCCCAAAGTGCTGGGATTACAGGCTTAACCATCGAGCCTGCTGACTGTTTAATTCTTATCTAAAGTTTTTTTAAATGTTTGCCATTGGATAAATGGCCAGGAAGCCATGTACTCCTGGAGCACCTGGACTCATGTCTATAACATAGAATCAGCTCTTGGATTCTCTAGAGGCTTCTGAGTCGAAACAGGCTGCACTAGCCATTTCCTCACAGCTGACTATGGTGCTTTTTCTATTTCTCATCTGTAATTTCTGGGGCCACACCACATTTTACAAAATCCATTGGAACTAATGCTTAGCCAAAACAGTAAGAGAAAGCCATTGGCCTCTCTGATGTAAGAACAGCACGTTTCATGGCAAGTGCTCATCTGTGCATCCTATTAGGGCCTTGAAAGTTTATGAAGGAGTCAAGTCTCTTACTCTAACTGAAATTCAATATGCTGATATGAAGATGGAAACTATTTAAGGTAATACTTTTTAGGGCTAGTTTCTTATTGATTAGCATTTACTTTGGGGAAAAAAGAGCCTTGTTATAGTCCAAACATGAGACAATTATTAGAAACACATATTTTTTCTGTTTTCTCAGAAGAGCAATAAATAGAACTCCTTATCAGGGGAACTTGGTGGTACATGTAGCAATTTGCAGGAGTAAACATAAAATGGGTATCTAATTATTTTTAAAACTATATGTATCAGGGAGAGGCTGCAAGGCCACAAGACAGCCTCATCTCTGCTTCACTCCCTCTAGCTCCATTCTGCCTCCTCCAGGGTTGCACACCAGCCTGTTCCCCTTGTGCCATGGGTCCACATTCCTCAGGGTGTCCTAGACCTCTGGCTGGGTGACCCCACCCTGTGCAGCGCCCTGGCCAACCTCCACGCCTCAGAGAAACACATCCACACCCACCAGGACTGCTCCTCCTCGTCCCCAGTGCCCCAAACTGGCGCTGGACACCAGGGTACTGATAGGGTATTTCTTCTACTCACCCATATGAGGGGATGTGGGATGATGAGACCATGGAGGGAGGTGCTGCAAATGAAGTGGAGTTAGCATTTCTGAGTCTTTGACTTGCTTTCTCACCCAAGTTGGGCTGCAGATGACGTGCTCTTGGTTAGAAACAAGAACAGCAAATCACATAGTGGGGTGGTAGCTTGTGTCCACTCCTTCCATGTCTGTGGTGTAGCAGAGAGAACGCTGTACTCCCCGCATCTGCATGGCCATCCCATGCTTCCAGGAGATGCCGTACTGCCACCCCACCCAGTGCCTCCCCACATGCCCGCACTGCTCTCGGCCAGAGCCCTGCTTCTCTTCACCTGTGCAGGCTGCATTTTCATAGCTTGGCTCCTCCACAGAGAAGCCCTCCTTGACCCCCCACACTGGGCAAGGCTTCTCTGGGACCCCTGGTTGGCACATATCATAATGGTATTGAAGGATTCCTGTCAACTTTCCTTAAGAGAGGTGGGACCTTTGCAGCCTCGTTCTGGGCTTTGGCCCCACGTTGAGTGCCATGGCACACACGAGGAAGCTCCTCTTGCTACTCCTACCTCCAGCGTGTTTGTGGCCTGTGAGTAGCTGAGTGGGAATGAGTTGCGGGAGAATGATGCACATGGCCCTGCAGCCAGGAGGCAGGTGATAGCATCCAGGCTACAAACGTACTTATTTCCCCCACAGCAAGCCCTCTTGCTGGAGCAGCAGCGGATCCACCAGCTGAGGAACTACCAGGCGTCCATGGAGGCTGCCGGCATTCCCGTGTCTTTTGGCGGCCACAGGCCTCTGTCCCGGGCACAGTCCTCCCCAGCATCCGCCACCTTCCCCGTGTCTGTGCAGGAGCCCCCCACCAAGCCACGGTTCACGACAGGTAATGCAGCACTGTTTTCGCTGTGGGTCAGGGTGGGCCTGTGTCTCGTGCTGACATGGAGCCTGAGGGTTTGACTTTGGCTGCAGCAGGAGCTGGCCTGAGGAGCTGCTCTGCAACCTGCTTTCCAGAGGCTGAGACCACCAGGTGGGCACTGCTGTGATGCCCAGGGGCCACACTGGGTGGTAGGAACCAGACGGACCAGTCATTGAGGTCCCTTCCTGCCCCGCACTCCCTGTTCTGTTATTCTGTTATTCCCCTGTCATGGGCTCACATGCCTGCCTCCTCTTTCCCAGAGAACCACGGTCTCCTCAGATAATTGTCCCCAGCCACACACTAGGGTAGACTGTTGTGTGTGCGTGTCCTCCATCTGTGTTGTCCCTCACACTGCCCACACCACCCCCAAGGCTGGGAAAGTGCTCTGCCCACAGAGACCTTTGGTTTTACTTTGAAAGGTGTTCTCACCAGAAGTCAGAGGTGAGGGCTCAGTTGGAGAGTAAGGCATTCTCCACAGCCCAGGAAGCAGAAAGGGTCTGGACACTGAGCACATCAGCTCAGAGATTGCCTGGAGCCAGGAGAAGGCTGATGCCCTGGGCCAGCCTCTGCCCAGCACCCCTGCATGGGGAGGAGCAGGAAGGTCTTGCTTCTGGCAGGGGTTGCCTCTAGGGACAAACAGGGAACCAGGATGGCTCTTCATATAGTTTTGATTTAGTGTTTCTTTTTAGTGACATACTAAGAACAAAGTTATATAAATACAGAATGAATTTATCCTTCTTTCAATAATTCTTACAAAATGTCTTATTTTTCTACACACAGTAAATATTTTTCTGCATACTGCAAAGTTCTCCCTTTCAGGTCTTAGAGGGAAACTATTCATGTTCAGAGAAAAATTCCAGTAGTAATTATCCAGAAGTTAAAATGTTGCTTCTCAGGAAGAAAACTGCAAAAGGTTCCAGAATCAGCCAGGTGACCCACTCTACAAGTCCTTGGCCATTGACTAAAATAAATGCGTTCTTGAAAGAACACAACTCAGCTGAAGACCCAGCCACAGTCACCGCAGTGGGAACCTCCCATACACTGAGCCTACCGAGGCTGACCAGAGGAGACTCTGGGCTGCCCCATTTGGTTGAATAATTTCTTGCTTTGTCTTTATTACTTTTTTAAATGTATAAAACAATACATACTCCCTGTAAAGAAACAAACATGATGGAAACCCCTAGAAAACACCATTGCCCATTGTTAGTAATTTGGTTTAACTCGTCCACATTTGTTTCGATACATAGACATAATTTATTTTACAAAGATGGAAGTCTGTTGTTCCTGTGTGCTCCCTGTCAGTACTTCCCTTCCTTGGCCACTTTTCTGTGTCCCTGCACAGCATTCTTGTCGCTTCAGTCTCCTGGCTAGCTCGGCCACCATCAGCTATGTAGACTTGCTCAGCTTCTCTGTGTGGCTCTGCTCCAGTTTTTTCATCCGTGAAGGCAATAATGGAATGTCTACATCACAGGCTCCAGCCTACTAAGTGTCGGCAAACAAGATCTTATCATTGTGATTCTGTGGAGTAGGCAGTTCTTTTTCATTGAATTGGTAGACATCTGGATTGTTTATACACTCGCATGTAGATGGCGCAGTACCTATCACTACGTGTGTGTCCTTTGCCATCTTACAAACTCCTCAGCATACCCTCTTAGCTACACACTGTAGTGTACCTGATTGTCAGTTTCTGTATTTGTTGGGTCCTGTAAGGCTGCTCCTCTCTGCTGTTTTTTGTTTTGTTTTGATTGTTTTTTTTTTTACCAGAGATCTCCAGCACTGATTTGCTAGTACATCCAGAATTCCTTAAGTTCAGGGAACTGATTCCTGTTAGCACAATTCACAAGAGACCAGGCCGTAAAGTGTGGGAACTAACATATACCAAGAGCCAGTCATCTAACTGGGCCCTGCAGCAATAGGACCACCTTGAATCTCAGCTCACCTTTGATGGTGATGCTTCCTCCATTTCCAGTAACAGGAGTACAAGCGAGAGAGACACTTTCTCATGTCAACAGATAGAAGCACTGGAGTGGGGTCTGACTGGCACCAGAGCCCAGACTTTGCACCACTTGCCCAGATAAGCACGTGTTAGCCATCAGATGCCTCTCGCCAGTGACAGCCTGCCAAAGGTGTCTGTTCACCCAACCCAGCATTCCCCATGTTAAATCCTGGAAGGCTAGGTGTATGAGGCACACGGATGTCACAGCAGGGGTGCAGGGCAGCCCTCTTGCCAGATGTTACCAGGTCATCCTCATGGGACAAGACCTGGCAAGCAGAGGAGTTATGGAAGATCTGTGCCCTGAAGGGACCTTCAGTCCTTCCCTCCTACTTTCAGACTCATTTCAAGACAGGCCAGTACCTCCATCTTCATGGTGGCCCTACGTTCTGTGTCGTCCTGGTTGTGAAAGAGTGGCATCTAGAATTCTACTGGTCTGGGCACATTGCCCTTTTCCCCACAGCAGAGCCCTAGGCAGCTAGCCTGGTTGGTCCTGAGGTCAGCTGGGCCCACTCCTGTGGCTGTGCTGTCTGTGGGCCAGTCAGTGCTGGGCTCAGTCCTGGGCAAGCACGCTTCTGAACTCTACCCGCAGGCATAGGCTCACTTCAATAGACCCATGTGTGCATGTTTTATGTGCTTTCCCTCATGTGTCCCAGTTACTCTGAAAGTTTCTAAGGGCAGGACCTGAGTCTGGTGTTTCTGTGACTCTCAAGAACCTTGGACAGTTCTCAGTCCGCTAGAACTAAAGATTAGGTTGGTCTGTGACCAAGTGAACGTAGATTGTAGAGGCTTCTAAAAGTTGGCACAGTCCTCACACGCAGGGGACTCCTCCTGCAAGGGTCTACTCCCAGGCAGGCCGCCTTTTCACTTGTCTCTTCAACCTGCTGCAGGGGGCAGCCACACGCCTCCTGCCAGAGCCCTGGGGCAGTGCCAGGAGTGTGAGTATGGCCAGACCTCATCCACCTAGCCCCTGCTTTCCTCCACATCCCCTGGGCCTGGCCAGCTGAGGGCTTTTGGTAAACTTGGTATTTTCCTAAAGAGTCGTTCCAGCCTCCAACTCTGTCTAGGAAAGCAGTGGTTCTGCTCCCATGGGGCAGCCTTCTGGTGGGTGGTCAGTGCACCCGTGGTGGGCCTCAGGGTGGACCTCTGGGTAGGCCTCTGACCTTAGCCATCTCTGTCCTCTCCCAGGCCTGGTGTATGACACGCTGATGCTGAAGCACCAGTGTACTTGTGGGAACACCAACAGCCACCCCGAGCACGCCGGGAGGATCCAGAGCATCTGGTCCCGCCTGCAGGAGACCGGCCTCCGGGGCAAGTGTGAGGTAATGCTGGCAAGGGGTTGGGGCAGGGGCTTCCCTGTGGCTGGGACACTAGTGGAGGTGACCCTTGGGCATGCTTGATCCAAAGCATTGATTGTCAAGCTCTTTCTTGGGCAAGGGAGACCCAGCAGGTGGGGCTTCTGGGCTGGTCACCTGGAGGAGGGGCTTGTGAGCATTTCTCATGAGAATCGCCCATAGGGCTTGGCTCCTACCTAGAAACCCAAGGCTGTCTCCACAAAATACCTCATCGCCCTGAAGGAAGCTGCATGTCACCTCTGCCTGCACCCCTTTCTCACATCCTGCTTGTGCCTCTGACTGAATGTGTTCTTGCCGATGTTCATTGCCATCCCTGTTTGATTTCCGGTCACTGATCTCCACCACATCCCCCTTGGGCTGCCCAGGACGTATGGTCCGGAGTCCCACAGGGAAAATCAAATCAGGCCTGCTGACTTTTCATTAAAATAGCACTCTCTTATTTCACTATTTCGAAAAATTTCTCTGGGCACATGTGGAGAGCTTCCGGCCATGAGTCCCCCTCAGAATTTCAGAGCCTGCGAGGCTGTGCAGACTATGGAGCATGGGGTCGCCCATGGGGTCTGGTCAGGTTTGAACTCAGTTCCCCCAAACAGCACTGCAATCCCGTGTGCCCTGCTCAGTCACGTAAGGAGTTTTCAGGAATGCTGCACCTCTGGCTGGTCCTAGGTTTCCCTGGCTGCCTGGCAGTGGCAGTGGCCATACTTGCCTCTGGCAGGTAGGGCCAAGCCCCCACCAACAGGACTGGAATCCTGCCTCAAATCCCTTTGCAGCAGGCACCTAGGCCATAAGGCAGGAGGCTCAGCCGAGTGACATTTGAGGGCAGAGTGGGGCCAGCATGTCAGCAAGGCTGACCTGGTTTTTGACCTGGCCCTGGATTTGGGCTGTCATCAGGGCATCTGGAGCTCTCGAGGGGCAGAGGGTCTGGCCAGGCCCTGCTGATGGTGCAGGCATGGAGAGAATGGGTTCCAGCCTCTGGGAGTTGGTAGCCTCGGAAAGCCTCAGTTTCACTGTCTGTGGAGAGGGGCTAGCAGTGCCCACCTCCCAGGATTGCTCTAGGACCACAGTGCCCAGCCCACACAATGCTCACCATGGGAACCTGCTTTGTCTCCTGCCCCATGTCAGGAATCCCTTCAAACTAGAGACAGCACACAGGGTAAAAAAAAAAACCATCCACATCCAGCCCTACACCAGCCCTGGGCTCAAATGGTTGTGGCAGAGGCGAGTGAGTGCATGGTGAAGGTGGCACACCAGCCCTGCTGTGGGGCACAGAGCACCTCAAGACTCTTGGCTGAGTTACCCCAGAATTCTACTCCGCATATCCACCTGCTCCTTCTGAACCTGGGCTATTTAGAAATTTAAGTCAATCTGCATATCACCCCAGCGTCCTTTACCAGTTTTACTAGTAATACATAATTTTCAGGGGGAAGGAACTCCAAAGTCAGGCCCAGAGTCCTCCCTGTAAGCCCAGCCATCTGACATGCTTCAGGGATCAGTCAGGATGTCTGTGCCACTGGGGGGCAGCATTGCCCAGCAGACACTGTCTGCACTGCATCCCATCCAACCATAGACCCAGACCAGAAGCCCTGCTCCCCTTCCAGGGGCTGCCAAGGCATCCTGAACGTCCCCTTGACCTGCTTCCATATCCCTCTCCCATTTCTGCCAACCCTTCCCACAGGAGGGTCCACTCAGGCCAGCGGAACTCAGGTGGTTTCTCAGTCAGCAGAGCAAATACTATCAAGGGAAGAGTGAGAAAATGAAAATAGAGGGAGAGAGTAGAGATCACTGACACACTTCTGCCTTCCTTTAGTGCACTGGAGGGAGACAGGGTAGGCTGGGGGTGGAGGTGCCAGCTGGGTCTGGGCCAAGGACTGGCAGAGGGTCCTCAGACGTTGGGCCAGACAGGGTCACAGGGAGAGAAGAACTGGGGGAAGATGGGCAGCTCAGACACAGCTGCAGAGGCAGCCACACTGAGGCTAGTTCCCCAGACACAAGTGCCCCGTTCCCAAACATGGAGCAGCTCTGTACTGCAGCTAAACCTCCAGTTCAGAACCAGTCACGTGTTGCCTCTGCCCAAAGGAACATGGCATCACTCACCAGGCTTCTGGCACCAGGACTCCTGAGATGGCCCAGGGGAGAGGACACGGGTCATTAGAGAAGGTACCTAGCAGGAGAAGATGGGGCAGAGGGACCATGACTTCCCCGGGCCTTCTATCACAAGGAGGCCATAGTCAGACTGGAGCCCAGGCCTTGGTCAGCACCCTTCCTCTGGGTGCACGATGCGAGGGCCCTTCAGCGGGTGGTCTCCCTCCCACTGCTGCTGCGTGGGACTCAGAGTGGTGAGGGAGAATGGGAGAGGGCTGGGGGGTCTTTTCTGTGAGCTCACACCCTGTCCACACTGGGAGGCCAGGCCAACAAGACATGGAATCTGTTGCATCACTTGCCAGCCCCCAGGCATCTCTTGGGAAGCTGTGATAGACATATTCTATTTCAAGCAGCCAGGGATCCTCCCAGGAGCTGGAGCGACACTAGAAAGCCCTGAGCACGACCATGTTTGTGTGGTAGCCCTGCCTTCCCACGGGGACTTCACAGGGGTAGAGCAGCTCCTGCCTGTTTGTGTGCCCAGCTGAGTACCCTTCTGCCAGTGAGACATGGCTCAGGAAGGGGAAGAAGGGAGGGGTGGGCCCAGGGTCACATGCGACAGAGGCCACAGTAGGATTTTCATCCTGCCTCAAACCTATGGGTTTGCTGCTGCCAGGAGCTCCCTGTGTTTTATCCCAAGAATTAAAAGGGCAAGGTGTCAGAAATAATGAGATCCAAGTCCCAGCAAAGGAGGGAGGGGACAGTGCTCATGTACAGTCTAAGTGATCATAATATCACAAAACTCTTACTAGTTCAGTCTTGTGTCTTTTCTGTCTCCCTTCTACCTATTTGTAAGGATGGGGATTTTATACTTTTCTCATTTGGCTCATTCTTTCACTTTAATTTAGAAATTCTTCCTTTAGTCTAACTTAAAACCTCTCTTGCTGCAATTCAAGTTTCTATTTAACAGGATGGGGAGAGCACACTGGCTGCTGCAGCCTTGCCCTCTCTCACCTGAAGTCCATGCTGCATTACTTGTGTCTAGACACTACGGGACACAACTCCTGTGGTCCCCCAGAAGTATCTCCAGCACAGCCGTTCTGATGCATGTATCCAGGTGGATTTGGCCACACCTATATGTGCCAGCACCTACAAAAGAGCTTCAGGGTATCCTTAAAAATCCCTGCTGGCTCCCCAACTTTTACCCTGGGTATATGTCCCTCCCACCTGGCTTTCATGGACACTTGGCCTAGGTCCCAAAGTAGGATCAACACTACGTTGTGGGTGGGATCATAGACTCATTTTCCACATTGGAAGTAGAGTGATGTCTTTTCTTTCTTAGACAGAGTGATTTGATAGAGAAGAGCCTGATTTTGTGGACTTGTTGATAATGATCAGAAGGGAGCCCCCAGAGCAGACCTCCCCTGCCCAGGGAAGCTGTCCTATGGGAGCCTCTGTCCCATAGGTGGGGGCTGAACTCTGCTAGGCCTACCCCTTCCTTCTCTGCCCTGCACTAAGACTCCTAGGCACAGCATCATGCAGAATGGCTGCATGTCTTGACTCCTAGTGGCCTGAGCAGCCTCAGGCACTGGACTCAGGTAAGAAGCTCTTGGGCATTCCTTGCTACAGGTCTCAAGCACAAGTATAGACACTGAGACTTGATGGGGGTCAGCACATGCTGGGGCCAGGCAGGTCAGAAGGGGAAAGCTAGATCACTTTCCTGCCTGGAGAAAACAGGTGACAGCCACAACTGTGGCCACCTGAGTAGTGTCAGACTTGTCCTGTGTCAGCTTAAGCCCTCAGAAAGCCATTTCCATGTGAAATGTTAACTTAGACCTCGTGTCAAGGCTAATCCACCAGCCTTTTAAAAGGTTGATAAATGTAACCCAGCTTTTCTGTTAATTTCTGGGGAAAATCTGAAAATAACCTAGGTACCTTGATCCAAGGAGTTTCCAGACCCCAGGAAAGGCAGGACACCCAGATAGCCATTGAAGGCAGACCCCAGGCCTCCCTCAGCTCACCAGCCTGACAGTTGGTGAGGAAGGAGGCTTCATCCTGAGGCACCAGATATCAGGGGAGACCGGGTTCCAGTTTCCCTTGAATGTGATGTAAGTGCACACACTCCTCCTGCCTCTGGCAGTTCACCTCTATTTTAAGACCAGACCCTGGCAGTTGGGAAGCAAAGTAATAATTTGATGCCAAATCATTTGCGTGACAGTGAAGGGTAACGCACTGAAGACTGGAATTACCTTTTTAAATATTTTTTCAAAGCTATAATTAAGTGTAAGCCCGTTAAAATATTTCTTAAATATTTTTAAATATTGTATTGGGTGAGTTACTTTTTATTTTGCAGAAGTAAAATTGTTTTGTGTTTGTTCTTGTAGCAAATTAAGTTTCCTTTTGAGTGATAGTTGTAGTCTGAGTGACTGTCTGTTGAAACAGAAACGCAGCTCCCACAGGTAATATGAGTGTCCTCTCACGTTCTGTCCCCACAGTGCATCCGCGGACGGAAGGCCACTCTAGAGGAGTTGCAGACGGTGCATTCAGAAGCTCACACGCTCCTCTATGGCACAAACCCCCTCAACAGGCAGAAACTGGACAGTAAGAAACTTCTAGGTATTTCAAGACCTTCCTTACCTCCCATATTGAGTTTGAAGTCACCCAAGGTTATGTCTCCAGCCCTCAGCACCCTGCGGCTGGAGCGGCTGCAGGCATCACTCACCAGGTTATAAGGTAAAGGGCCTGGAAGGGAAATTCTCACCCTCACTTCACCAACTGCTAGTTTCCGGTGAAAGTGCCGTGCAACAAGTGTGTTTATGTAGAAAATGGACTGAGAACCACTAATTTAGAAAAATCTTGAGTCACAGAATTTAGATTTTAGAAGCTGATCAGAGATACTGTCAGCATGCTGCCTAGCCCTCGCTCTGCAGGAAGCCTGGAGTCGTGTTTTGAGCTCTGCTTTAAGACTGTCAGGGTCCTGGCACAGTGTAATCCCAGTGCTCTGAGAGGCCAAGGCAAAAAGATTGCTTGAGCCCAGAAGCTGAGAAGTTCGAGGCTACAGTGAGCTATGATCATGTAGCTGCACTCTAGCCTGGGTGATGAAGCGAGACCCTGACTCAAAAAGCAAGAAATCCAGGGCAAAATCACCAAGAGACCTAGAAAGTGTTCACAGGCCCAGCCATGGCTACCCTGGGTACCTGAGCTTCAGCTTCAGGGTGAAAGGCCATTGGTGTCGGCTCTGGCAGACAGTCCCTGCATGAGTAGGTGGGTACAGGGCAGGTGTTGACCTCATAGAAAAAACTTTCTAATGGGCATCTCCTGCCTTGAGGATGGTGAGAGCTTTTCAGAGGGGACCTTCAGCAGAGTTGGGTGAGCTCTTCACAGACTCCACTGGCCTCAGGGCTCTCTTTGTTCCTAGATGATATCCTTCCTACCTCCCAGCTACCTGAACCAGGACAGTCACTGACCACTGGTTTCCTTCCCCAACTTGCCTGTGCCTTATAGGGAAAGAAGCTCACAGCAGCTCTTCCCTGAGCATGAGCCAAAGGAGGCAAGCCAGAGAGTGGGGAGTCATGGATGCTGGAGTCGTGGGGCAAGGAAGGGCAAGCTGTGCTTGCCTGGTTTCCTGTGTTTCATGTGGATGTGGCTGAAGGTCTCCTATGCCAGGCCTTCACCAAGCAGGGCGAACCGCATAGGGTCTCACACCTCAAGGCCTTTGTGCACTCAGGCATTCACTTACTCATTCACTCATTCACCCGCTCTTTCTCTCATTCATCCAGTCATTCATCTACTTACCCACTCATTCATTTATCCACTCCCCTACTCACCCACTCACTCATTCATCCACGAACCCACTCATTCGCTCATCTATCTAATTACCTACTCACCCACTCACTCACCCATTCATCTGCTCACCCACTCACTCATTCATCCATTCACTCACTCACATACTCACTCATTCATCCACTCACTTATTTATCTACTCAGTAACTCATTCATTCACTCACCTACTCACTCACTCAACCACTCATTCATCCATTCATTCACTTATTCATCTACTCATTCACTCATTCATTTCCTCATTTACTCACCCACCCATTTACTCACTCACTGAGGGTGTCTTCTCACCCTATTAGTACCAACAGGATAGAAGTGGCCGCTGCCCTTGGAGAGTGTGGAGCTAGTAGGGCCATGAGGACACAGGTGGGCTCTGACCTCAGGTGTCTGGTCATGCTCTGTCTTCATCTGTTTTTGTTGCTTTATAAAGTAATACTTAAGGCTGGGTAATTTGTAAAGAGGTTTATTTGGCTCAGAGCAAAAATTCATTACCAGGAGGACAACACAAGCCATTTGTAAGAGATCTGCCTCCATGACTCAAATGCTTTCCACTAGGCTTCACTCCAACACTGGGATCAAATTTCAGCATGAAATGTGGAGGGGGCAGATATCTAAACTGTATCGTGCTGCTTCCTGGCCCCCCTCTGTCCCTGTGGCATCAGGACTTCCCTCAAACTTGGAAAGACAGGAAAAGAGTCAACAACTGCAGGACATTGGAGCCTGGGAAGAGGGGGACAGAAATGCTGATTTGGCACATTCAAGAATGTGAACACCCAAACCAGTCCTGGGGATGAGTGCCAGCAGTTCCCACAGACCCCAACAGCTCAGGGACAGCAATTGAGCACAGGGAGAGGAACTCAGACGAGCCCTGGGCAAAGCTGGTGGAGAAGTCTCTGGGCCCCACATACGGGGCCCTGCCTCCATGATCCTGCCCAGCTGCTTCCTTGCCACTTCTCCAGGAGGAGGGATGTGGGTCCAGATCTGAGCATGGGCATCATGCCCACTCCTACCACCCCTTTCCTGCTGGGCTCCCAGCATGCTGAGTTTATCCCTCCAGGCAGAAGACAGGAGACCCCTCTGCAGGGACTTGACCAGCCGAAAAGAAACTGACACTGGGGTTCTCCAACAAATAGTCCCTGAGGTCCCTGATATTAGCATTAGCAGTTCATATGCCCCAGCTTCCAACAGCAGCGAGCACCTCACTCCTAGAAGCAGATGACTGAGGACTATCAGGACCTGAGGAAAGCACTTGACAGGAAAGTGGAGATGGAAGCAAAGCCAGGGAAGCAGCTCAGGGGCAGAAAACAGAGGGACTGGAAAACCCATGCTGCCGTTAACTTCCTCAAAGAGAGAAGACTCTACATCCGTGTAACATGAACACGTGTAATGGGAAGGGGAAAGGCACAGAACATTCAGAGAAGACAAAGGTTAGAAATGTGAGCACAGAAATAGGAAATCCTCGAGCTGGAAGATAAGCTGAGGCGATCTCCCAGGAAATGGAGCAGAAAAATGACAGAGCTGGAAAACTGGGAAATACGAGAAGGAGAATAAGAAAATCAAAGACCATTCCTGGTGTGCAACATTCCCAGGGAAAGCAGAGGCAGGAGGAAGGCAACTGTGGAGGAACTCAGAAGGTCCCAGACCAAAGGCCATGAGTTGCTAGGCTGCAAGGACCCACCGAGGGGTGAAGGACCCTTCCCAGGAAGCACCAACAGAGTCTCAGAGTGGAGGGACAGAGATAAGATGCTGGGGCTCCAGAGAGAACCAGGGTGACCTTGCGTTTCTTGGGGCTCTGAGGGAACTTCCCTCCATGCTAAAGCATTTACCCTACCAAGCTGCAGGCAAGCAGGAGGCATTTCAGATGTGTGAAGTCCCAGGAATTTCACCTTTCAGGCTTACTTCCTCAGGAAGCTGCTGAGGACATGCTCCGCCAAAGCTAAAGAAAACTGGGAGGCTGCCACGGGCCCTGGGACAGAGACCCTTCACAGAGGCTGGATCCCGCATAAAAACAGCTAGGCCAGCCCAGAGCAGTATGACTGAGAGCAGCCTGGGGGGCTGTCACCCCTGAGATACCACAGGCTGTTGGCCCAGGCTGGGAATCACAGGTCTGTCCCAGATTCTCAGGCTTTTACTTGTCTAGGCCAGGTCATTCTGCTCCTACCTCCAGACCCTTTTGCCTGGTCTTCATACATTCAAGTCCCTAAGTTGGCTCACTCCACGGGTAGAGGAGTCACAGGGGGGCTCAGAAGGAAATGCTGGGCCACAAGCCTTCCAGGCATTCTGGCCACGATGAGTCATACTCCCCAAGATAGATTCAGAAGTTGTTGGCTAAGTGTGGCCCAAGATGCTCCCCTCAGCCTGTCTGCTCCTGGAAGCTGTCACCTCACAAAGGCACTGCTTTTGTCTTTGTCCATGCAGTGAGGTTTGTTCTTGCTTTTCAACTCAGTTTTCCAAAGCTTAGCCACCATGTTTTAGGGTACACACCTAGGAGGTGAAACCATCAGAAGTTTGGGGATGCCTGGCCAGAAGCAGGAGGGGTTCTGGGGACTGGGCCGCCGGGCTGTCTTCCTCAATCACAAGCTGCTTTATGATGCAGGCTGTGTGTGTATGCCGTGTAGGTTCTTCAGTGTGTAGGCTATCTCCTGTATTCCAAAAAGACAGCTGTGTACTTAGAAATGTGGGTGCCGAGACTCCTTACCCTAGCAGTTGTAGAGTGGGACCAGGGGAGAGGACAGAGCCAGGAAGTCTGAGATGGCCCATGGAGGCTCTGAAGCATCTGTCTTCAAGGAAGGGTGTGATCCTGGGGGAACAGGTGGCTCATGGGATCCTAGAGGCAGGGGACATGGTGTAGGGGGAGTCGCAGATTCAAGCAGAGCACATGGAGTAACAGGAGAGGGAGGCAGAGTGCATCGACTGGAGCCAGAAGAAGGGAGCTTTAAAAAACAAGGATGGTATGGATGATGGAAGAGAGCAGGCAGCACTGCATCCAGGAGCTGGGCGAGCAAGGGCTGTGCAGAGGCACCCAGGCCTAAGTTCCCATCCCTCAGGATTCTCCAGGTCCTTGCCAGAAAATGTCACTGTCATGTGGCACTTTGGCTGTCTGGCATGTTCTCCAGCACAGCAGAAGATGCCTGTGTGTCCCACCAGGAAACAAGACCGGTGCTGCCACAATAGGGACTTCATCAGGCCTAAGGAGTTGCTGGGTGACCTCAAGTCAAAGGGTGTCAGGCTCCCTCCTGAACTTGTGTGTAGCTTTACCTACCCATCTTTATCTCCTTCTAGGAGAAGAGATGCTCTGCTCTGCTCAGTCGGTCCTGACACTTGGTTGTCCATCTTCAAAGGGCCAGTTGTCAGTCTACCCATTATCCACTCAGTCTTCTAAACCTGTGGGATTCAGCAGGATAGAGGATGGTTTCCATGTTCAAGGGGAATATGAACTTACCTCTACTAGCAGGAGGATGTCCCAGGTTTTAAGCTAGTTTCAAACTAGGTTTAAGACAGATTACCAAAATCAAAAAGGAAATTGGACATGTGGTATCCTTGGGGAAAGATCAATCATGGGTATGCCATGAACTTGGAGCTCTCTTACCCATGGATTGCTGGTTGCCTGATGGGTCTTGGGCCTCACTTCATGGCCAACACTGGGACCTTGAAGATCCCTCTCTGGCTTTTGGTTTCTCTGTTGAAATATTTTTCTGCCATCATCATACCCCATCTCTCCCCTGTAGGCAACCATTTAATGTATTTAGTGTTTATTTTGTTGACCAAGTATATTATGACAAAACGTGTATTTAATTTACATCAGAGACATTAGAAATCATTTTATTATTTCCTTGTCCTTCCTGCTAGGCTTTGCGTTTTAAAATCTATTCACATTACAACAAGGATACCTAATCCATCCTTCTCCTACTAGAGATCGATTTTTAAATTTCTGATGATTGTCCTAACCAAGAATCTAACTCCAATATCATCAGATTAAGTATTTCAGACATTGTAATAGCTGGTGATTATCTCAAATTTTGTTAACATAACTCTAATTGGTGTTTAAACACTACTGTGTGATTTCCCTTCCTCTTTTAATTGAACCCACAAATTTCTAAGCCAACTGCAAAAGCTTCTTTGTAGTTCCTTACTGATGTGGTGAAGTGCCACACATAGGAGCTCTGAAGTAGCTCAAGGACAATGAGACAAGCTGGCCAGCTTCTGCCTTGATGTTACCGGAAGTCACGGTGCTCATCTATAGCGGCTGACATAGTGCTACATGGATAGGAAACCTGGTCTGGAGCTGGGTCCCGAAGAGCAAGTCCCAGTGCTGCTCAGGGGAGGGGTAATACCACAGGAAGATGGCTCAGCCCAGCAAGCACATCTCCCTGCTGAGGAGCAGTGATCAGAGAACAATCAGCATCTTTCTCATCCCCAACCCAGGCATGGGATGCCTGCTTGCCAACCACTGTGGACAAGTAGGCATGGTTGTTAATGGGTACCAGGCCCCATCACTAGGCCGGAAGTTGTGGCCTGGTCTAGGTGACTGTGGCCCCAAACCACAGCAGGTCAGGGATGGGCCTGGGCTCCTGGAGCAGAGACTCAGCTGACAGTGGACACCCCTGGCTGCCACTGACCTTCTGAGGACTCTGTTACCAAAACAGCTTCCCCATAACTCCATACCCTACTGTCTACCCCAGTGTGAGCTTTGTGTGTTTGTATACACACGGCAGACCTTTTTTTATCGCTTCAGTCTCTGCTTGCTGGAAAATGAGCAAAGTCAAAGTATTCAGAGGATATATGGTTTCAGCGTAGGCGTGGTTGGCTATAATTTCAGAAAGAGAAGTTCAGTCTCTTCCAGAGCCCTTGACACGACTTCCCACACACATGTGTCTGAATTTATATGCATGCAAGTACTTGCATTTGGAAGAACAAGCTCTTTAAGTCCACAGCATTATTTCTGTGTGTCGGAGTAGTTAGTGCTATATGAAGATCTGCGGGAAGGGGAGGCTGTTACCCTCAACGGGCTTGAGAACCAGGACTGCGTGGCTGAGGCTGACCCACGGGTCTACGCTACAGACCCTGTTGGCTCAGTACCTCATGTGGTTGGAGCTGGAAGCAGGGACGCATCAAGCACAGACCTGCCCTCAGGAACCAGGCCATCATGGGGATGCAGCACAGGCTCTTGCTGAAACAGGCCAGCCACTCCCAGCACAAAGGAGTTTTCCCAGAAATCAGAACACTGCAGTGTCCCAGCAGGCACCTGCACCCCTCAGCTGGCCAGTTTCTCCCATCAACTGAGAATCACATTTACTTTTTCCTAAAGTGACCTGGGGCCCTTGAGCCCCTTCTGGAAAGCAGTTGTAGGTGCCATGTACCACCCTCCTGCCCTGCATCCACTGGCATGGCAATCCCCCAGCATCGGGATATTGACACAGTCATTTTGCAGCACAGGGAGAGTCCCAGCCTCTAGCCTCATTGCAGATCCTGCAGCCTCCACAGAGTGGGAAGGGCTGGTCAGCTCTGTGTGCCGTGCCTTTCGCTCGGAGCCTGGCTGGGGTCTGTGGATTAAAGCAAGCCATGGTTTAAAACAAGCATGTCTGATGAGCTTCTCCTCTGTGCTGGCTTTTCTCCTGGAGCCTTGATGCCATCACAGTTACTCTTTATGCTATGTTCTACCCTGAGGACATACCCTTCTCACTCACACTGAGGTAACTCAGCTGGCGAGCCTTCCCTGCAGGAGGCGGCCCAGGCTCTGACTAATCCCTCAAGACCGGCTTTCTTCCAAACAGCCAGTGCAGAGAGGGTGATCTGTGAGTGTGTAGATCAGGAGTAGCAGGTGGTGGGAGAGGAGCCTCACGGTGGTGGGCACAACCCTGCCAAGGCCAGAAAGTAGAGTTCTGAGCAAGGATGGAACCCACTAGATGGAGCAAGTCTCCCCAAAGCGTGTAAAATACCTCTGCACAGATCTAGCCCAGGAAGGTGTGGGCAGCCCAGGGCAGCAGCCAGGATAGTGGCCCCCAGTGCTCATTGAGGGGGAGGGGTCTCTCGGCCTTTGAAACAGGCAGATTTTAAGCTGGTCGCCTACATTCCACCAGTGCTGGACTCAGACAGGAAAAAGACAGTCCCCATACTGGGATTGTCTTAATCACTGGATCAGGCATGAGCACTATGGGATTGGGTGATAGAGGACCTCATGGGCTCAGGCATCCCTGGGACGAGACCTGGACGAGCAGCCACAAAGGTCTTTGGTTTCTTAGCAGTGCTTGATCTAAGTGTATAGAAGGGGAGGAGGAGGCTGTTGTCATTCACATCCTTCAGTGTCTAAGAGGCCTCACTCTGGTGTCTAATTCTAGGCCCCTTTCCTTGTGTATAGCTGGAGGGGCTGCTGGGCAAGTGTCAGAACTCACTGAGGAGCTGGCTATCTTGGAGCAGGGTGTGCTGTAGACACAGCCCCTCAGGAGCACAGGTTGCCCAGGCATGACCCGTGAGCACTGGCTGGAGGCAAACGCCCACCAAGGGTACTTGGTATCTCCCTCAGCCCCCTGAGTAGTTGGATAGTGCCATGAGAATGTGAAGTGGCCCAGTTCAGCCCTTGCAGAGAGCCAGGTGCCTCTGCCAGTCAGACACCAACCCTGCAGCAGGACTACCTGGTGACCTGTGGTGAGCAGTTGTCTTGAGCCCAGTGTGTGGAGTGTCATGCATGTCCCCCAAATGCCAACATACAGATGAAGACCCCACATGCTCCCAGAGCCCATCTTAGCTCCAGCTCACCGTGCACCCCGGCCTCTCTGACCCTCTCCTTCTCCCCACAGGCTCACTAACCTCGGTGTTTGTCAGACTTCCTTGTGGTGGTGTTGGGGTAAGTATTTCTTTAATGTGTAAATAATGTCCTGTTTCTTCTCGAGTCCCAGTGGTCACAAAAATCGCAGCCTTGCTTTCCTCAGAGTAGATAATTGCTGCCAGGTGTTTTCCATATACAGGGTCTGTCAGGCGGGGGCTGCCCATATGTAGCTTCAAAGGCCCTGTGCACCGTGAGCATTTTGATCACTGGACTTGGGCACCTTTCTCTGGAGAAGGTTGTCTGGTACAGGCAGCTCAGGCTCTGGTGGGCTGTGGCTCTCGCTTTAAGAAACAAGATCCCGTGTGTGGATGGGCATGTCATCTCCCCCTAAGTCTACAGCAATAATCTCATTTCCATTCAGGTCACGAATACAACATTTGGTAGGATGTGTGTGTGCTTCTTCCATATCCAATTTCCAACCCGGGTGAAGCCACGGGTGAAGCTCTCAATGAGGTGACTGATACATGAGGGCCATATGGGGTCCAGTAAAGCTGCTTCCTGGGCCATACTGGCTTCTTTTATACAAGCAGATGATGACGGACTGGCCTGAGCACATGAATTTCCACAGACTTTCCAGTCTGGGCATCTGCTTGTCCATCTGCACAGGAAGGGTCAGGTCTTGACAGTCAAACCTCTCAGTAACAGAAAGTTCTCCCTGGTTCCATCCTCTGATGTAGCATGAGTCAGGGCAGCCACAGAGAGATGCATTTGGAGGTGAGGCCTGTCTGCTGGCCATCACAGTTTTGTAGCACCACGGAACCCCACAGGCGGTCTCAGGTGAGGAAGACAAGGCCCAGTGGACAGCAAGGGCCACTGAGGAGCGAGTGTGTAATCACATTGCAGGGTGAAGCTTGAGGTCTGGATTCTGTTATGGAAATGAAACAAAATTGTTTTCTTCCTGAGTTTTTACAAAAATCACTGCTTTGAAAATTATCCCGTCAGAAAAAGAATAAACGGCATTTACTCATACCACCACCAAGCTCTCCTAGAGTTATTTTATTTTGTATTGTAAATAGGCTGCAATCTCTTAATTCAGGGCAAATTTTTGGCCAGGCTTGAAAAGATTTGGATCTGCACTACCCGCAGCCAGCACGCCTATTCAAGGCAGAATTTCTAGTTTGCAAATGAAAACTACATGCACACTCAAACCTGGGGGGAAGCACCCAGCAACCCCTCCCAAGTGTTAATCCAGATATGGGGTGGAGCAGGCTGACCAGAGCTGCACCCTCACATAATCTGGGCACAAAGTGCACTCGTGCAAGATACTCATGGAAAAACTCACCAAGTGGCCCTGGGTAGAGAGAGGTACAGTATGAGCCATGGATGTCCTTAGGTTCTAGTCTCATCCTGTTGTTTTCCATAATGACCTCTAACAAGGGGTCACAGACAGGAGGGCTACGCTGTCCCCTGCCCTGACTTTGAGGTAGACTAGCTGTCCGTGGGACAGATGCAGCCTTCCCGTGGTGCCTCAGGATTTCCTTCCAGAGCCAGGGGCCAGTCCCTTGGGGTATTAGGAGGAGCTAAGTAGCCCCGGGAGCCAAAGCATGGGTGGATATGAGATGCTCTTCTCAGAGGATGGTCAAGCAGGTAGAAAGAAGCCACCTTCCTTTCCTGAAAGCAGGTCCAAGTTAGCATTAAAGTTGTACACTGGTACTTTCAACGTTTAAAATGCATCTTTTTTTTAACTATGGTAAATAGTAGTTTTGACCTTTTTTTTCAAACAAAATGAAACTTCTGCTTTGTTTCTTTCCTGATTGTCCACAGGCTTTGAGTTAGTAAGGAGTTGGTGTCCTTGAATTCTCCTGCTAAACCTGGCCCAGCTGGATGTCCCCCTGCCCTGATGCCTGACCCTGGGGCTGCTCAGAGGCTTCTGAATGGTGGCAGCTTCCCCGGTGTTGCTGCCCGCTCTCTTTGCCCATTTTCATTCTCCATGAGATTCTTTCTTCACCCTTTCCCTCCACCACCATTTGCTCTTTCATGAGCTAGTGATTATCACTGTCCTGCCCTATACTGGGCCATCATCCAGCAGTGCTGCAGCCTGGGCCAAGCTCCCTCACCCTGAGCCTTGTGCTTCTGAAACTCCAGCTGGTCCATGGAGCTAGTGGCCAGCAGCTAGGGACCATGAGCCCTGAAGCTGCAGAAGGGGCCTGTCAGGTTCTCTGGGAACAGTGGCAGCCTGGGATCCTGCAGTAGGCCTGGGGGGTTGTTTCTCATTCTGGGCAGAATGTTCCAGGAGCTTCTGAACCCAAGGGTTACACAGGAGGGAGTATGGCTGGGCCTCCAGACACAGGCACCCTGGTGCACTGACCAGCCCCTTGGTGCCCCAGTGAACAAAAGACCAAGAAAGACCTTCAATACAGATGCCTTCTGGTTTCCCTTCCTTGCAGTGTTGACTGGGTCCTAAAACCTAGCTCATTGCATCTTAAAGGGAAATCATCTCTGCTGCTTTTGGCCAAACTGCCTTACCCACAGGTGCAGCCTCTAGGTCTGGCCCATACAGTACATTGCCACCCCAGAGGGCACAGGGCAGTTGGTGAGATATTTCCCTGCCTGGCTCTCACCCCTGGGCCGTCACCTTTGATTTTAATGAACCAATTCTCTAGCTGAAGTAACTAGCCCAGAATAGTCCTACTTGTGTGGCTGCTTCAATGAATAACAACATAGCACTATTTAGAATAGAGCCATTCTTTACAAGCTGAATATTAATGCTTTGGAGAACAGGCAAAGTGGAAAGCGTTCTTTTGACATTTGGAAACTATTTAAGAGCAAAGAGGTTTGGTCATTGAAAAGAATAACCATCGTGGAATACGCTCTTCAGGAAATGTCTTCAGCCCCTTGAAAATGCATTTGAAATCACCTTGCTTTGAAGATAAGCTTTGAGACTGCCTGGGAGGAAATCCATCCCTCCCCAGGTAATGAGCAATGTCTGTCAAGTGGTATGTGGGCCTCCCACTGGGTAGGAGCCACGTGGTCCCGGCAGGCCTGGACCAGGGTAGAGGAGAGAAGGGGAGAAGAGGGCCAGGCATAGGTTGACTCCAGCTCAGGAGTCCCAAAGCGCTTAGTGCTCAGAAGAGGTCAGCTTGAGAAGGAGGGGTCTTCTGTCGATCTGCAAACCTCGTGTTCAGGCTGAGTAAGCTTGTTGGGCACAGCCTACCCAGGACCTTTACTGGCTAGGCATGTCCAAGTCCCAAGTGTGCCCTCCTGAGGAGCACGGTTGCCCCAATGTCTTGTGGCAAGGAAACACTTGGGGATGACTACCTAGATACCTGGGAGCTGTGTGCTTCATTGTAGCCCTCTGAGGTTCCCACAGGAGACTTCTCTTCACAGAGCCATCTCTGTGTCCTCATTCTCTACCATGTTATCTGGGGCGTTAGTAAAAATTTCTAATGTACTCAAATAAGTAAATGAACCAGCACACAACGGAAAGTGTTTGATGTGTTTGTATGAAGCACATTTTCTGTTTGAAGTGGACACAGCTAACAGGCTGACTTGCTGTCACCTAGACAAAACTGTCTGCCCACCCTAGGCATGGGGCAGGGTGAGTCTCCCTCCACCCCACGCTTCCAGTCCTGTTGAACCACTCTTGTCCATATTTGGAGGTTACAATTAAGTTCAACGTGAGATAGAATAATAATTTAGAGAGACCACTGATCCTGATTCCTCACTCATTTCATTTTGCTTGTTGTTAGTGCAGGTTGAGCAGCCCTTATCCAAAATGCTTGGGACCAGGAAGTATTTCAGATTTTGTATTTTTTTCAGATTTTGGAATATCTGTGGTGTACTTACCAGTTCAACATCCCCAATCTAAAACTCCAAAATGCAGAATGCTCCAGTGAGCAAGCTGGATGCTCAAAAAGTTTCTGATTTTGTAGCATTTTGGATTAGAGGTACTCAACCTGAAGAACTTCCATAACTGCAGTTGCTGTTTTAAAAAAAAGGAGATAGGTAACCTTGGCGCCATTACTTTTGGTTCCAGATATATTGGAGCAATTGAGAGAAGAAAGGACATTTAGAATGGATAAAAACACATGTCATATTTCTGGTACATTCACTTGTATGTTCCTGTTTAGTGCTTTTTGGCATATCTTGAAATCTGCCTGAATGGGGCTGGGGCTGCCCTGGCTCCAGTAGGTTCTGTGGTTTTGAGGCAGAGTCCTCAAACTTTTAGAGCTCATGGAGCCCATGGCTGCATGGGATGGTGGTGATGGCGACCAAGGGCATCAGTCTCACTGCAGAGCATTGTTTCCACAGGTGGACAGTGACACCATATGGAACGAGGTGCATTCATCAGGAGCGGCCCGCTTGGCCGTGGGCTGCGTGGTGGAGCTGGTCTTCAAGGTGGCCACAGGGGAGCTGAAGGTCAGTCGGGGCCTGGGCAGCAATGGGCTTCTGAAAGGAGACCTGCGGCAGATTTCCAGCCACAGGGAGGGACAGCCCACTGCATCTCCCCCCAGTCATGTGTGAAGGCGACTGTGACAGGGAATCATGGACCCTACTCTGCAGCACAGCCTCACTGTTGAATCGAAGGCACATTTCTCACACTCGTGGCAGCACATATATAGTAGGGATTCTCAAAGATTTAGATGTTTATACTCCTCAAGAGTATAAAGGTTACCATGTTGAGGAACGCAAAGAGTTTTTGTTTACTTGAGTTATATCAACAATGTTGTATTGACCATATTAGAGATTAAAACTGAGAAATGTTTAAAATATGTATTAATTTACAAATAACCGTAATGTCTGGCTCAGTAGATGGCAGCTGGGGTTTCACATCTGCTCGCATCAGTCTGTTGCGACATGTTGAAATGTACTAAGAAATCCTGGCCTCACATAGACACACAGTTGGAAAAGTCTTTTTAATTGCCTTCTCAAATAATTGTGCATATTCTTCTTGAAGACTGCGCCAACATTCCGCAAGTGGTAGTGTCTTGGAGATAAGCCACACCATGGAATCTGAAACCCGCCTTGCAAGGTCGAATTGATCTTTCACTCATGGGTGATCTTGAAGCACTGTATGCAGATCATTTGGAAACTTAGGCTCACTGAGTGATGTAGATCTTCTGAGTTATGTAGGTCTTCTGAATCCTGACACATTATACGATAGCAAAGCAGTCATTCATATCACCCCCCCATCTTACAAGAAAAGTCTTGTAAGTACCCAAAGAGCTGTCAGGCTCACAGAGGCAGATACATGTTTTCCAAACTTGTAATGTAATAATATTCACTTGAAAGTTCAGATTTTGTCACTGGCAACCACTGTCTGTTGCTTTCCTATGACAGACTTACTTTTTGTCTGTTTTTGAGCACTGTCCTAGGTTTACCCAGGTTGGAATGACTTGTCTGTTTGTGTATCCATCTTGCAAGAAGCCCTGGTATCTGTGCGCACAGGCACCAGTGCAGCTCACACTGCAAATGCCACGCAGTCATTATCCCTGGAGATGGAGCTCACCCTTGCTTGTCTCACACATCCTTCCCGTCTCTACTCGGGTTGTAAAAAGGACATGTGTTTGAGAGTGGAGAGTTAATAAAATGTGCAGAAACTGCTTCACCAAGAACATTTGCCCCACAAATGTGTGATAGTGACGCAGTGAGGGCTGGGTCCTCCTTGCTCACCAGGCTCCTGCATGGCATCCATTCCGTGTGAAGTAGTCTACCCCCGTGCTTCAGCACTGATGGTGCCATTGTCAACACATGAAGAAGGTAAATAGAGCCTTAAGATTCTTTCAAAAACAGACCCCCCCAGAGAGGGTCACAGGAGCCCTGGGGTTTGCATGCTTCACTTTGAGAACCACTATCGTGTAGATGGGTAGAAACAGGTTGATGATTTTTGCAACGTTGAGTGTATTAAAGGGTGGGATCACCTGTGTGAGTTTGCCTCTCGACCTCACTTACCACCCTTGTCCCTTCCTGAGCCTTGTCCCTGTGCCCAACCAGCTTATCCCTCCCATGGTGCAGCTATTCATGATTGGCCCTTTGGAGGATGTTACAGACTTTGACATGATTTCCTGATGCTGGTGAGACTAAGAGATGCCCTTTGAAACCATTTTAATTGCAGCAGCTACAAAACAGTTTGCAGATCGTTTTTTAACACATAAGTGACAGGGCAGGGGGAGCATGCAGCTCTGATGTGGCCTCTGGAATATTTTCAGTGTTAGTGGTGGTGCTTGTTTCATGTGTTGCCTACTTGCCCAATGCACTGGGACAGAGACGGGCACATTGAGGCCAAACTGGGCAGGAAGTCTCTGCCCCGCCACTAAAGGCCTGAGGAGAGCACCTCATGTTTTCTCTGCACTTAGGCCTCTACCAAGTTGCTTCCTGGTGGGTCCTGGTTAGGAGAAAAGAGGGGCCAAGAGCACCCCTTTCACATTGCCCAGATCCCCAGACTGAGAGCATCAGGCCCTGCCACAGACTGCTGACTTAGTGACTGAGTTTTACTGGGAATCTCGGGTATCCAACAGACCTCTTTATGAGAAGAGATCCAGGCTTTTGGGAAAGGTTCCCAGCATCCCTTTGTCCTTCCCTCATCTGTGTGGCCAGACTGCAGTGAGAAACTGTGTCCTCCCATGTAGCCTGAAACTGCTAAAAGTTCAGTTCGTAACAGTTTTCTCATGGATATAAAGCGCGTTTTTTGTCACTCTCTCCCACATCTACTTTCTGTAGAATGGCTTTGCTGTGGTCCGCCCCCCAGGACATCACGCTGAGGAGAGCACACCCATGTAAGTAGGCACGTCTCTCACTGGCAGGGGTTTCTGGTTCCCCTCCATAAAGGGCTAAGTCAGTGCCTGAGTGAACTGGGTTGCCATGAGCCACCATCTTGCATGTGCTGGAGTTGCATAATGGGTGCTGAGCCTAGACACAAATGCCTGTTAACGTCACTGATGGTTCATGATGGATACAGCTGGGTGAAGGAAGGGAAAGGAAAGGAATCCATGGAAGTTAGTCCAGAGGAGTCCATGGAAGTAAGTCCAGAGGAGTCTTCTGACATTCAAGTTCGGTGTCAAAACTCAGGAGAGGAAATGTCAATTGCCCTGCAGCAAGTTCATGTAGCCCTTCACTGTCTAGAGCACTTAGGACATTTGGTGCCTGGCATTTTAGCTGATCCTGCTAACAGTTGAGTACTAATGAGGCAAGTCACAAAGTCATTTCCACATGGGCCAGCTACCTGGACACTGTTTCTTCTGGATACCTCTGACTGTCCACACATCTGAGGGTGTGGATGGTTCCAGATCCATCACTGCTTGTGGAAAGCCAATGACAGGTGCAGACCCACCTAGGGCAAGGTCAGTATGGACCCTGACACCACAATTGTGTGCTGCCTCTGCTGCCCGGGTGGTGAGTAAATATCCCCTGAAAGAGCATGCCATCTCACGGGACATAAGAAGCCATATGAGTGAGTGTAACCAGTGCTTAAAAAGAGTGCACAGCCTATACTCTGGAGTCAGAGGAGGGGCACTTGGTTATGTTGGCTAGAGTTAGGAGAAGTTGGTATTTGGGCTGTGGCTTGGAGGATTTGTCACATGGACATGACCAGGACAAGTACAGATGCTTCTAAGTGCACTGTCAGGGTGTGGCCATGAAGCAGCCAGTGAAATGGAAGTGTGGGAGACTGGGAAAAGGCCTCCCTGCCACCCCAGCAGGCTCGGGCTATAGTAGTTATCAGCAAGCAGGGCTCTTGTATTTCATGTCAGGAGGTGAGATGGTCTGTGTCTTAGAAAGGAATCTCCATCTTGCACAGACAGAAGAGATTGTAACCACCAGGGAGTGAACTTCAGGTGGATTTCTTGTGGCTTTACCTGAAAAACCAGGTGATCACTCCACATCCCAGAACACTCCATGCCACTTAGGCACTGGGTTTTCTGCTTGTTTCTTGTCTCTGGATTTACTTTTCTAATTTGGATCTCAGTTGTTGGACATTATTCTAAATAATAAACCCAAATGGAAGACAAATAACATACTTTCAGTAGCAGTTCCTCATTGAATTCCCTGTGAGCCATTGCAGGTATAACTCAAGTCCAGAATGTTCTGGGGTGTGGACTTTCACATTGCCAGCCTGGATTCTGAAAACAGAACCACCAGTGCTTCTCAGCTTTTGTGGCAACTCACACAGGAAAATTTAGATTGAGAGAATTTTCATTTCTACTTGAATCACTTTCTTAGCTTCTTTTTCTTGGTCTTTTGAATAAGACTTCAAAATTACTGTTAATTATATGTCTTAGAATATGAAAAGATAAGCAGTAAGCAGCTAAGATAAGTAATGTCTGTGTTTTGTGGACCATAGCATCCTTTGAGATGAGGTATTTTAGGGCAAATCAGAGGGAAATGTTGATCAGAGGTAAAAGTTTTCTTACTATGGAAGTGATGGAATCTCCAAGCAGAAGACTGTATGTGTGTATGTGTACAACTGTATGTGTGTGGTGCCTGTGTACATTTATGTATAGTTCATGCATGTATGTGTCTGCCTGTGTGTCTATATGGTATGTACATCTATGTGTATGTATGTTTATGTGTATATATGTGTTGATAAAAAATAAAATAGATTTTCTTACCATAGGTAGGAGTGTTGCAAATCTTCAAACAGGAGACTGTATGTATGTATGTGGTAGGGGAAGAACACAGAAAAATAGCATTTATTACTAAAAAAAATTATGTATTCTTAAATGTTCAAACCTCAAATTTCAGTCACCTTCAAAGTACTTTTAATTTGATGCAATACACCTATCAAGATGCTTTTTCCACTGCTAAAAACAGTTTTCGAACTCATCAATTTTGATGCTTTTTAGTGCTTCTGCTGGGTTTGTTTTGTTTTTTTTTACCTCTTCCACATCGGCACAGCATCTCCCTTTGAGGAACTTTTCATCTGGGGAAACAAAAAAGTTACTCAGGGTGAGATTGGGTGAACAGGGAGAATGGGGCACAGGGGTCAAGGCCGTTTTTAGTCAAAAACTGCTGAACACTCAGTGCAGTGTGAGCAGGAGTACTCCCAAATCACCCATCATGAAATGAGCAAATGCACTGAAAAAAATCTCCAAAAAATAATTTACTGAAGCCGAACACAGCCTCTCACAGCAACTCTAGCTGGTACATTGATGCTGGTGGGTTCCTAGAGCACTCACTTCGCCGGGGATGCCTATACTAAAGGGGCCTGCCTCCAAAAGATAATTCCAGGGTTTTTGGGAGTCCCCCTCACATATGTGTATGACTGTGTTGTATGTGTATGTTTTTATGTGTGTATCTGTGATATGTGTACCTATAGAATATGTGTCTGTGTTTGTGTGCTTATGTGTATGTATGTGTGTGGTATGTATGTATCTATATAGTGAATGTATCTGTGTGTATATCTGTGTGTAGGGCTGTGCCTGTGTATTTATGTAGTATGTGTGCCTGTGTATTTATGTAGTAGGTGTGTAGTATGTATTTATGTAGTATGTGTGTCTCTGTGTGTTTATCTGTGTGGAGCATGTATGTGTGTTATGTATGTCTGTGGCATGTTGGTATATGTGTGTCTCTATATTCTGGATGTGTGTCTGTGTGGTATGTGTATGTGTATCTTTGTGTGTGGAGTGTATTCGTGTGGTTGGTATGTCTGAATAGTGTATCTGGTGTATCTGGTGAGGAGTGTTTATGCATATCTGTGTGGTGGGCTGTCTGGGTATGTGTCCATGTGATATGTGCATGTGTATGATGTGTCTGTGTGGTATATGTGTCTATATGTGTATCTGTGGGAGGTTGTCTATGTGACATGTCTATGTATCTATGTGATATGTATGTCTGTTTGTGGTGTGCATCTGTGTGTACACACATACCAGCAGCCCAACTGTTATGTCTGTGGTATATCTATTTGTGTACCTATGGTGTGTGTCTATCTATGTGGGTGGCTGTGTAGTATGTGTATGTCTGTATGTATCTGTGTGGTGTGAGTGTCTTCATGTGTGTCTATGTGGAGTGTGTCTGTGTGGTATGTATGTGTGTCTGCATGTGGATCACACTATTCACAGATATACATACCACATAGATACACCCCACACACAAAGGTATACTTACACAACCACACAGACACATGTGTGTATCTGTTTCTGTGTGTATCTGTGTGAGGTATATGTGCCTGTGTGGGGTGTGTGTGTATATCTATGTGGGGTGTGTATATGTGTGTGTGTATATTTGGTATATACATCTATATAGTGTATGTATGTGTGTCTATATGGTGTGTATATCTATGTGGTGTGTGTGTGTGTGTATATATATATATATACATATATATATATATGCCTGGTGTCTGTATGTGTATCTATGCAGTGTATTTGTGCAGATGTGTATCTGTGTGTGTGTGTATCTATTAGGGGTCTGTGCACATGTCTATCTATACAGTGTGTGTGCAGATATGTGTTTGTGTATCTATAAGAAGACTGTGTATATGTCTGTATATGTATATCTCTGCAGTGTGTATGTATCTGTGGGTTGTGTGTGCGTGTCTGTCCATCTGTGTCTCAGTCAACCATACAGCATCACTTTAGGTTCCCCACTTACCTGTTAAGGAGATGGCTCTCATCTGAACACTCCTAGGATCTCCAGAGATTCTCCCAAATCACCCATCATGAAATGAGCAAACGCACTGATGGTTCTCTGGCTAGTTGTGTGAAAACTGACAGGCGCCCATGCCTTGTTTCATGGTCCTGTTCTCTCCTGCAGGGGCTTTTGCTACTTCAATTCTGTAGCCGTGGCTGCCAAGCTCCTCCAGCAGAGGTTGAACGTGAGCAAGATCCTCATAGTGGACTGGGTAAGGGGAGCCCACTTCCCAGACCAAGAGCTGCCCTTGGCCTCCCCCAAGCAGACAACAATGTGTGTGGAGAGGGCCTGGGGTCATGTGGATTTAGGGAGCATAAATTTCTGGAAACGATGTCAAAGATGCAGAAATTAAAGCCTCAACCTCACTACACATCATTTACAACTTCTGTCTACCCACCCTCCCGATTATGGCTCCTGGCACATCTAGAAATGTCCCTGTGAGTGAGGGCAGCATCCAGGAGCAGCCCTTGGCAAAATCTTGTTGAAGGGGGTTGGCATTGGGGAGGAGATAGTGCCTGCGGGGGCCTTGTGCATCTGACCTGGGGGCATTGGCCTTGTGTGTGTGACCTGGGAGCATAGACCTGGGAAGGCTGCAACTTGCCTATCAGCCACCGCTGATGAGCGCCTGCCCTTCCTGCTTCTGCGGGTGTACCTGATTCCCACTGGAATAAAGGCAGCCATGCCTCCTCCTCCACATCTCATGGAGACGTGCCATTTCTCAAAACCCCACTGTCCCAAAAGGGCCAACTCATTTTAAATAATGCTGTATGATATCTGAATCTGAATTCAAAAAAAAGGTATAATGATTCTTATACTGGAAATTAATATTCAATATATTCACTTTATGACTCTTTAAAGCTAGATATATGCATATATAGTGCTCTCTTGGGTGCTTATGATTTTATAATTTTTTTAAGGAATAAAAACGCAGCTTCATCAAATAGGGTTATGATTTGCATTGTAAAAGCCCTTCCCAGTTTGAAAAGAAATAGCAAAACACAACCCAGGATACCACACCAGCTTCCAGACAGCCTGTGGGGTCTGCAGGTAGTGATTCTCATGCAGCAAGAGGAGTGTGGCTAGGCAACAAGTCAGGGAAGGCCATGAAGCAGTCTTCCTCACACCCAGGACCTGGGAGCCATCGACCTTTCCCTCTGCTCTTCCTATGGGAGCAGGTCAAAGTGCAGGTGAAGGAAAGGATGAGGTAGTTGATGGCTAGATACTGGGGACCCCTCTGTCCAACATGTGTCAAAGCATGTGTGGTGAGCAGAACGGCCCACATGGACACCAGGCGTGCTCACGGAATGCCGCACTGCTGTGTTGAACTATGCACGGGTGGCGCTTCCAGGGTCATCTGAATTATAAGACTGCACTCACAGAGAGCCTCAGTGTGCATCTTCACAGCCACAGGGATTACTGGGTGGGATCGCAGGCACTTGTTCCTGCTCCTCCTGTACAGCTGTGCTTCCATATTCCCTATAGTGAACACAAATAACCTTTATAAATAAGAAAAAGACACGAAGCAGCAGGTTCCCATGTTTAAAACCTCTGCCCCACAGCAGCTCTTCTGAATCACATGGCTGTGTGCAGCAGGGCTGCCCCTCGCCCTTCTATCCTGGTGACCACCTGCCGGCATGGCCTAGGGGCAGGATGGCCATGGCCAGGAGAAGCCCAGGCTACCTATCTTTTGTTGCCCTCTGGTGCTTTTAACCTGCAAACATTGTGATTAAGAAAAGCAGCTTGTTGTTTCAGCGTAGGGGTTCTGGACCTCACACTGTGTGTATACCCGTTACAGCCCCATGGGACTTATCTCCTGACATATCCCCGCATCTGGCATGAGGTGGACACCTCACATGTGCCTGTAAGTGGACAGGCCCCAGTCAGTGACCTTCCTCCTGAAAGAGGCTGTGGAAATGGCTCACTTGCCACAGAGACACAGCAGGTGTGAGACATTAATCGCATGGCTTTGGCTGGGAAACCGCCACCTCCAGGTTTGGCTGAAACCCCAACCCCATCTTCTGGGTTCAGGAATATGCTATGGTGTTAAGGAAAAGACAGCACTGCAGACAGGGGCACTGGCCCTTCAAGTTCCTGTGACCCTGTACCACCTAGCCCCTGATGTATGCCTGCAGGGTGCAGGCCTGGCTGAAGGGCAAGGCTGTCTGTGAACAAGAGCCATCATCACAGGGCATGGCTGGGGACAACCCAGAATGGACCTGGGGTGAGGGCTGCACTCTGATGCTTGTCTCTGCCCTGAGGTGGTTCTCCCTGCTCTTTAAGGACGTGCACCATGGAAATGGGACCCAGCAAGCGTTCTACAGCGACCCCAGTGTCCTATACGTGTCACTACACCGCTACGACGATGGGAACTTCTTCCCGGGCAGCGGGGCGCCTGACGAGGTAAGCTGGGTTCTGTGACAGTCTTTGGGGAGGTTGGGCAGGCTCGAAGCCATGTATTATGGCCACTCCAGAGGGCAGAGGCAGAGGGCAGACGTGGCCCACACCTGCCCGTGACAGCAGCAAGCGCTTCATGCTTGCTTTAACCCAAACGGTAATTTCAGTCAGCCATCGGCCTGGATTCCATCGTGTGAGCACACGTGGCCTGTATTTTGTCTGAAGTACAAATGAAAGACTGGGGATCATTTCTGGTTCCAATCTAGGCAAACTGAAGTATTTATGGATGAGGAAGTGTGTGGAGCCTGTTTTTCTCCAGGCCAGGCCTGGGACTGCTTTCTATGGCAGGAACAGCACTCCAGGTTGGTGTCCTTGATGGGCACCCTTGTGCAGGGTGCTCTGTCCTCTCACCCATTAGTGCTGCACAGTGGCCCTGCAAATAGCCGGCCCAGAGCCTGCCATCTCTCTGAACCTCCCATAGAAAAGGTTCCGTCTGCCTCTGCATCTTACTTCTTGAAAGGCAGTGGGAAACCAAAAGGTCACCTACAGACAGGTTCTGCCCCCAGAGAGACTTGGGTCTTGATTATACTTTGTTAGCACAACACACAGCACAGAGCAGCAGGTCCTCAGAAACGTTACCAAGGGGACTTAGCACACCCCTTCTATGACCAAGGTGGTCCCCTACTGTTCCCAGCAGTTCAGAGTGGACAAGAGCCTGCAGCATCCTGTGAAAACTGCTCCAAGTTGATGTCAGTGTATCAGGTCGGTGGATGACCCACTTTGTGTACGTTTTAACAGATATACACCAGGAGACCATGACACACGGGCTCTCCCTACTGGGGCTGTCAAGACAGGGCCCTAGCCTGGTGCCACCTGTGTCAGGTATTCCTGTCAGGGAGGTCCTGCTCGAGGGTCTGTGACATGCATTCCTCCCCTTCTGGCCACAGGTGGGCACAGGGCCAGGCGTGGGCTTCAATGTCAACATGGCTTTCACTGGCGGCCTCGACCCCCCCATGGGAGACACCGAGTACCTGGCAGCCTTCAGGTGAGTCTCCCGGTATCACTTCCCAAGTGATGCTGGCAGCTCCTCCCTTGTAAAGTCTTGTTCCAGGTGATCCCAGTAGGACACCCTCAGCCTCCAGCAGGGAGAACTTGACACAGATGGTGTTTGCGAAACTTCACTTGCAGGCAGATGGGGCTGTGGAGGCCTTGGAGCTGTCTCTTGTGAGACTGTCTTCTTACCCCTCTTACCTCTGTTCTTAGTATTCCCTTCTGGGCATTAAAAATGGAGTCCATGTTGGGCTCTGACAGAAGAGGATAAAGACAGAGGCAAGGGTTTGTGTGCCAAATGTTACACTAATGAAAAATGAAGATGAAAATCTTAGAGCTCATAATCTCCAAATTTTTCTTCCACAAACCCTTTGTGAGATGATGTGAAATGGAAATAAATATTTATCTCTTATTTATATGTAAAAATCACAAGGTGACCATCACCCCACCACACATTTCCTTTGCATGGCTCTGGTCCTTTAGAAGGTAGCTGCAGGCTGATTTTTAAAAACACAACATTTGCTTTTGTCATCAAATGGTTATTTCTACTTTGATCTAGACCAGATTGAAACAATTCCTATAACCAGAAGTAGATGGCTAGTGGTGCAAGTTTTCTCGTTGTGGTTGTCATTGTTTAAGATGATGGCTCCACCTGCCGTGGTGGAATGTAGTGGCTACAGGGGAGTAGTCCCATAGCCCGGGTGGTTCCCTGGGCCCCTACAGGGAGAAGGATGGTGTGAGCATGGCTGAACCCGACCGACTCTCAGCCTCTGTTAGGAAACACGGTCAATGCAGGATGAACTAGAGTCCTGTAAAGTTTTCAGAGGGGTCTTCTTTCTACTTCTTTGTTTAACTTCATGGTCTTGTCCTGATTTATGTACATATAAAGCACATATGTGCATGCATGTATCTGATGCATGTTTATGAATGTTTGTGCACGTGTCTGTGTATGTTCACATGCCTGTGTGCATGTCTCCGTGCAAGTGTTTGAGTATGTGTGTATCTGTACTTATGTGTATGCATGCATGTGTATGCACGTCTCTGTGCATGAGTATATTCACATATGCCTATGCATATGTCTGTAGGCACATGTGCCTTTGTGAGTGTGTCTTTGTGCATGCATTTCTCTGTATGTGTATGTCCCTGTGTGTGTGCACCTGTGTTTGTGTGCATCTCTGGCAAGTGAGGCTCCACACAAGGACACATGTGTAAAGTTTTGTGTAGACTCTGCCACATGTTTCGCAGCAACCCTGAGTAAGTCATAAACTCACCTCAGTTCTTGAAATGGGGTCATAGTCCCCCCCTTGAATAGGATGTTGGGGTCTAGTGACAGAGACCTGGCCCAGTAGATGTGGGTCCCTCTCCCCAGGTACTCAGTGGCTCATAGAAATAACGGACCCATCTGACTGAGTCCAGGCATCAGATCTGCTACTCAAGCAGTGAGACTGGCCTGTGCAGGAGGATTAGTCACCCCCTTAGTGGACCTGCTCTGATTGGCATCTGAGTTACATTTTCCCCTTATCAGTTTAATTTTAATGTTTCTTACTCTTGATCAAATATAATGTAATTTTGACAATTGTCCTGCCTAATCTAAGGGAGACAGACTTCCACAAACACATGCAACATCTGAAAATTTGCTGATGTGAAATCTGAAGCACTGAAGTGGGGGTTGTCACTGTCTGTTCATGTAACACACATCCCACTGGCATGACGTTGTCACCTCCCCTCTGAGAACTGGCCCCTCTGGAGGCTTCTTTGAAAATAAAGTGTCCCGATACCCTGAGAGGTGTAGATGCTGCCTGGTTAACTTCCTGCCTGGTGAACTTTGGTGCCACCTAAAGGATGAAGGCCCGCTGTGCAGAGAGAAGGTGGAAGCTTCTTGGTTTGATGGGTGATGGGTGAAAATAGATGGGTCTCACTTCTTTTGATTCAGTTCTTCCAGGCCAGTTTTGGACTAGACTGGCCCTCACCTCGGAGGCGTTTCTCCATCGTAACTCCGCTCCTCTGATCCTGGGGTGAAATTCTCTCCACCTGGTGTCCCTGCCCCCTGGCATCCCTACAAGTGGACAGACCCAAGGCAGGGTGGCTTGGGCATCTGCCCTCAGGATCACTCCTTCCCAGGCCCTGGGCCATCCTACCCAGCCTTCAGGATGAACTTTTCTTTTGGAGTTGCTCTTGACACAGGCTTTAATCTTCTGCCAAGCGTGTGCATGATAATACCTTATCAAGTGAACTTTTTAAAGCTTAAATAGCTTCTTTGAAAAGGAAAATTGTTTCAGGGTTTTTTTTTTTTATTGATTTTAATGTAAAATAGCACTTTGAAGTTTACAATTTATGGTTCCCTGGGCATCGAATGATGGGGGAAGAGGGGTCAGAGATTCGTTTTCCCCTTTCTTCTGCACTTCTCCCCCTTTTGGGGGGCCCCTTGGGACAATGCATGCCTTAAAGGCAGCACCTTGTTATTCAGACCCATTGCCTGCCACGTTGCATTTTCAGGGGATCAAGCCGAAGATGAAGAAAAGATAAGAAAATTGCCCCTAATGAAATCCAGAAGTAGCCGGCACTTTCTCCTCAGGCTCAGAGACTTGTAAGAGAAAAGGAACCCTTAATTCAAACCAGTCCCAATGCCAGACGTGGCTTTGAAGTTTGCTGAGCACAGTCTGAGCGCCTGGGCCTTGGACTTGCACAGAGATAATGATGTACTCTCTTAACCCCTCCTTACCTGCTTGTTGGGGATGGAACAGCTCTGCCTGTCAGTAGTGATGAAAGCGAAATTGAGATTATTTCTACTCATAATTTAGATTTAAATGTGACATTATGAAGTTTATCAGAGATGTCAGTGAAACTCGATATTCTAAAGTGATAACTTTAATCTCGTAATGAATTGACATTGGCCTTCAAATTGAGCAACTGGGTAGATTCATTTCACTTTCCCCAACCTTAACTAAGACATGAAGGAGGAGACTCTTTAGACTTTTTTTACTTCCCTAAGGTATGTGGTTGTTGTTGCTTTGCCTTTTTTGGCAACTTGTTTTCAGAATTGTGGTAAAGTACACTAACATGTATTGTCTTAACCACTGCTAAGTGCACATGTCGGTGGCACTGCCCATACTTGCAGTGCCATGTCCCATGTGCTTCCATGCCTAAGGGGCAAGTGCTCACTAGCCATCTCACCTTCTTTTTAAAGACAATTGTGTCTCTTAAAGGGCATCCAAATATTGTCCTATGTAGAAGTTTATCTGAGGACATTTTAATTTTCAGGAGCAAAAAATATAAGCTTAATATTTAGGGTAAGACATCTCATGTTTCCAGCCTTCGTTGTACCTGCTAGGCTAGCCCTTTGAGATTTGAGCAGTGGACACAGCACAGTTTTCACCCCAGAGGGTAGCAGGGCCCTAGGCTAGCATGGTGGTACCTGCTCACTTGGGAGACTGAAGAGGCCTCCCAGAGCCCAGGGCTCAGGCTGAGTCTTAGAGGACTAGGTCTGGCACAGGGTGTTGGGGGAAAGAGTGTCTGCAGAGGAACAGAGCCTAAAGATGCAAACCAACTTCCCTGGGCTGCATTCTGGGAGGTGCACCTTGATCCTGACTGCAGAAGCTCTGGCAAGGGACCCTGACTGGTGAATAAAGCATCTGCATATTGGATGGGCCCATCTTGTGGCAATCTAGATGACAGACTTGGTCCCAAGATGGAGCAGCCCAGGGTGGGGTCAGCTGGGATCTGGAGGATGAGCCCCTGGGAGACCTATAAGACAATGGAGCCAGGACAAGGCAACAGGGATGGAAAGGAGAGGCCAGTTCAGAAAGCATTGGCAAGTGAGATCAAATTGAGGGGAGCCAGGGCTGACTGGGTGGGGTGGAGGGTAAGAGAGGGGGCTCCAGCAAGGTCTCAAGGTGCTGCCTTGGAGGAGGGTGAGGAGTGCTGAACAGAGGTTTCAGGTTGAGCAGGTTTCAAGTTAGGGCAGAGAACAGTTTAGCCAGGACACTTGTGCTTCCACAGATATTCAGAAAAAACCAAGAAAGTGCCTATCCAAGTTGGCAGTTGGGAGGGCACTGGTGATCAAGACGTCTAAGTTTAGTAGTTAGGACAAAGCAGATGGATGTGAGGTGGTACAGCAGAGGCACTGCCTTCTGAGAACCTGGGGAGAGGAGGAAGAAGGGAACAGGAGGTGGCAGGACCCAAGGGGATCTTGGGTCATTGAGGTCAGACAGGGGAGGAGAGAGGACAGGAGGTAGAGGATCTGGGGGTCAGATGTGGGAGGAGAGAGGACAAGAACTGGCAGGGCCCATGGGTTGGTGGCCTTGACCAAGTCCAGAGGATCCAACTCTGCCTCCCAGGCCCAGCAGAAACCCACTCCTCGGACCAGTGGCAGGCCTTTGGGCATCCTCAGCGAGCCCCACTCCTGCATAGTCTGATTTTATTCCTAGGGTGTGTGAATGGGAGGAGTGCCGAGAACCAAGTGTCCTGGAGAAGGATGGAGAGCACTCTGAAGGGGAGGCACTGGCTTGCAACGTCCAATGTGTGCTGGGGCCTGAGACTGATTATGGGGGACTCGGGGACAGGACTGCGGTGAGATGAGGATGAGGGCAGGGTGTCAAAATGGAGAGGGTGGGTTTAGGTGTATTCTGCAATGGACTCTGAGCCCTCAGAGTAATGGCAGGAGTGGACCAGGCACCCATGCCCCTTGGGTGAGACTACAACAGTGGGATGGGGGTAGCAAATGGGTAAGCCTGCAAGGAGAGAAGGGGTAGGAGTAGCCAAAGTACTGGGAGTAGCAGGACTTCCCCCAGTTTCCAGGAGGGCTACAGGGGAGAGGCAATGTCACACCTCCCTGCAGGTAGCAGGGAAGGCCAAGTGCAGAGAAGCTGGGGGCATAGAGAGGACCCAAGTAGAGAAGGGTATCTCCAGGGTGGAGGGACTTCTGACTGACCTCGGCATCCAGCTCTGCCCTGCAGTTCCCGCGCTTTTTCTGGCCATGGTGCCAGTGGATGGGGG